TGACTAGTGGCAAAGATGACACTTTTGACCCTTTCATAGAAGTCCTAAAGCTTCTTGTAAGTTTCTGTAGTAATTTTAATCATTGCAGGGCAACTCCACATACTGACTTTTCGTTACCATAGTTGTTGGAATAATCCTAACAATTAATTATATTCCTACTCCAGGAGTCAATATTGGAATTATAAAGTAATTTCACAGAAGCCTTATGTTCTCTTTTGCGGACCAAGGGTCTCTGATCTGCTTCTGTGTCATGTTCAATAAGAAAACTAAGCTAAGGAAGATGATACTTCAGTTGCAGCTGTTGCAGTCTTACAGGTCCTAGAAATGAGAACTTTTGGGGTCTTAGTGGCAGATATTTTCAGGAATTCACAAGATGCTTTTGTTGGATAACTTTGAATTTTTATTTTTTTATTTCACTGTAAACCAGACCAAAGCAGATGTTGACAGTGACTCCTTGCCAGCAGCAATCCGGAACTCAGAAGAACGTCTCTCCAAGGGTGACATATACCTGCTGGAGAATGGGCTGAACATCTTTGTGTGGGTGGGAGTCAACGTGCAGCAAGGCCTGCTCCAGAACCTCTTTGGAGTGTCATCCTTCAGCCACATTAGTAACACCTTGGTGAGCTAGATGGCAGTCTAGAAGCTAATGTCTGTGATATTCACCTAAAACTTAAAACAGTGAGAAAGCAAGTTGAGAAAACTGTTATATTTTTCATACTAGGAACAAGAGAAGCACAGGTATGTGAAACTAGTGGAAAGTGAGCACGTCGGGCATTCTTTGCCTAGCTTTGTTTGACAAGCCACATTTCCACTGAGAGAGCAGTTCTTATGTAAATGGAACAGATAATTCTGGTGTGTTCTCTTTTAACTAGTTGAGGTCAAAGAGGTGGTATATTAGTTGGAGCAGATATATCTCTACCCTTATGTAATGTGACAAAACTGCTCAAAACTGCTGAGTTCTGTTTAATGTTGCTCTACCTTGCGTGACTAATGAGGACTGGATATCTTTATTCCAGACTACCCTGCCTGTCTTGGAAAACCCCTTTTCAAAGAAAGTACGATCCATTGTTGACATGCTTCAAATGCAGAGATCTCGCTACATGAAGGTAAAAATGCTGTTCTCCTTTCATAGCTTTTAATCCCCTTCCCTTTTAGTAGAGCAGGTGATGCCTGGTAGTGCTGCAATGTTGAATTTATTCTTCCTAATCTCATAAATATGATTCCAAGTTTTCAAGGATCTGAAAAAAAAAAATCATTACCAGTTTTGGCGTTCTGTGCTTACCATAGTTCTGAACTTTTTTCATACCTGTTATAATATATGACAGCACAAACCACATACATGCTATTTTCCTTCTGTTTAGAAAGGGCTGAGTTTAACCCAGCTTAGTTATGGAAGTCAAAGCACATAAAACATATATGCTGTAACTCTGATTATCTATCTTTGGATTACTGAACTATTTAGCTTTTTGCTGTTTTTTCTAAGAACATTAATTCTGCTAACTAGTCACTGCTCTTTTTGTTCTTTTGTTTTTTTATAGTTAATAATTGTGAAGCAAGAAGATAAGCTGGAAATGCTGTTCAGACACTTTCTAGTGGAGGACAAGAGCCTGAGTGGGGGGGCTTCTTATGTGGACTTCCTATGTCACATGCACAAGGAGATTCGGCAGCTACTGAGCTAGAGGAGGGAGTGGTGCTGAACTCACTAGTGACATGTCAGTCTCCACTAATGACCTGATCAGAAGGCCCAGCGCCCTCAAAAAGGACAGCATAGAAATCTGTACAATTCCATAATTTTTAATACATATTGCATAAGCAGAAATCCTTTCAACCTCTCCCAGTCCCGTATGACAGATGAAAAATTTTCCTGGTGAGGGCTAAAAAAAAAAAAAAAAAAGGCTTTTGATACCAGGTCTTTTACTTGTATCTAAATTGTTTCCTGTGGTTTGCAGGAGTTCACCCCCCCACCCCATGCTCGCTAATCCTGTTGTAATGAATGTAGTTTTTTTCAGTTCACTGTACATGATTCAACATGGGTGAAAAAGCGATAACTCTTCAAAACTTCTGGTAGTTGCTGTGTGTTTGTATGGGCGCGTGTGCATGCTCCAGGTGTGAAGAGGATGCACAGGTGGGGAGGACAAGAGGCAGGTCAAGTAATGGGAGCTGAAGCAGCCAAACATTTTGTGTCTTCTCTTAAGAGGGAAATATGGCAGATGTATCATGTGGCTGGCTGAACCAGAAATCAATGAAAAAGGAAATGAATGGTAAAGCCAGGAGGAAGCAGGGCAATTTTTTTTCCACAATCTTCCCTGTACTATAAGTTGCTGTGCAGATCTGTAATGGAGTAAGTAATAGTACAGTGAGCAACAATCAACAGCTTATGAACAGCATAGGGGTAGAGATGGTGCTTCCTGTTGGTGTGTGTGGTGAATCCTTTCCTTCTCATTGCATGGCTCTGTAATGTCCTACTCAATCCATGTTCCATGGCCTCTCCTGCAGAACTTCCCTGTCTATCCAGATGGTAGTGGGAACAAAAGCCTCTTAACCTTAAGCAGAAAATACTTTTAACAAGATGATACGGGGCTGTGTAGGAACTGGATGATAAGGAAGCTGCCATTTTCAACCATATTATTGTGAATCATAGTAAAGAAGCAGGAATTTGATTTATACTGATTGCAAATTTGAGACTGGGATACAAGGAAGGGGATACAAAACCTAAGATTTAGACTGGACTGTAGTAGGTATTGCAAGTACCTGATTTTGGTTATGGAAAGCATCTGGGCTATAGTGAGGAGTTTCATTATGGGATGTTTATACCCTCCCCCCATTCTACCTGCTGATCAGCTTGCTTGCACAAAACCTTTTTTTGTAAGCCTGTTTGTTAAACTAAAATACCTCAGACAGACTAAATCCATCTACTTTGGCCACTCTGCTGCTCCATTCTGCAAGGGTGGATGAGAAGACTCCTGTGAAGTGAGTGTATCTCAAATTCAGAATTCTAAGGGCTTTGTTTATTAGATTTTGAAAGGGGCTTTTATATTTTAGCTTGAACGCTTAACAACTGTTCTTACAATACCAGGAGTTGAAGGTACCAATAGCACTAAAAGTGGAAGGAAAAATAGGGGTGGAATAGAGGGCTTGATATTTCAGAGGAAAGTCCTTGTTACGATCAGAAAAATATCTGGCTGTGGTTTTAGTTCCATATCCCGTAGCATGTATATAAATCCATTTTTCTTCTAATGCTGCTAGTTTGTCTTCCCTCCCATCACTACACAGAAAGGGGAATATGAAAATTGCAATGGATAAACTCTTTTCAAGATGTAGTTGACAGAACCTTCAGCATTTTTGTGTGAATGTGGCTGACTTTTTACTCCACATACTGCCTCCAACCAAAAAATCTAGAGGATTTTTAACCAGAGACGACAAACAACTTCCCAGGAATAGAAGGTGTAGCAACCACAGACTTCCACAAATACTAATTTCTAGTATTAATATTGGGGGTGTGGGGGTTGGAAATGAAATCAATAAATGACCCTTTCATTTTCTTCACTTGTTTTTCCAATGCATCTTTTAATTTGTAAAGAAATAAAAATATATTAAGATGTATTTTATGTCATTGTTAGTAAATAAACACTGCTTATTTTTCCAAACCCTGTATTTTGCGGGAGGGTCGAAGTGGGAAAGGCTGAAGTAGCTGATTGATCCTTTGCAATCTAATCTTCTGCTGACCAAATTCAGACTTTTTTTTTCCCCCTCCTTAATCACAGTGAGCCATGATAAGAAATTCAGCAAGAGTCAACTAACAAAAGGTGCTGTTAAATCTCAATATTACTTTACCTAGATGAATGTTTTTTAATTTACTACCCCTTCTGAACTTTCATTTTGCAAAGACATTTCCATTTTCTCTAACAGCTTGAGTCTGATTGGGATTTTTTTTTTTTGCCTTCTTTGGGAAGTATTACCTTTTGACAATGTTAACTTTAAGACTTCTGCAGGCTTAATTTTTCAGAGGAGTGCCCATTTCAGAGTTAAGATATAGGGGATGCTGGGTGGGGTTGTTTTTTGTTTTCCAACAGGAGAGTGCTAGTTTCAAAAATAAAATTCAGTGTGAACTGGGAGTGTAACTTGATTATAGCCTAGAACATTGATATTGTGCAGTGTGCTGATAACATTACAACAATCTGTATGAAAGCACAAGACAATCATTGGTAAATATCCACCAAGACTTACCTTGCTGTAGAATATTTTTGAGATTATTCTCCTACAGAATGTACGTTGTGTCCAAAATCTGCTATGGAACAATAACAATGGGCTTTGTGGATCCTTGTATATTAATCATGTGGAGTAAATTGTGCTTGTGGATATTTTTGTGGCAGCACCCCTTCTGATGTATGTGGAAATTACTTTGCAGAGCACTTGTCTGTTGGCATTTTATCAGGATAGAAGTAAGTGAAGGAGCTGATGGGGATAGCATGAGGCTGGGTAGTCTTTCTGTTCTGTAGTGTGCTCCTGGGTCATGCCTGAGTAGTGTCAAGACCTAACAAGTCAAAGAAAAGCAAAAAAATTCCCAGGTTTTAACCTGTTCCTTATGTGGAGAATACTTCTTTGCTTCTGTCCATAGTAACTAATGCCCTGTATTAGGATTTATCAGTTTTAAGTATTGTGATTGGGATTAAGTTATTTCTTAAGGAATTGATGTGAAGCTTTTAGCAATTCCCTAACCGAATGGTAGTTCTAGCATGCTTCTGTTGGATTTTTATAGTGTAGCCCAAACTCCCATTTAATACTAAAAGAATTATGGCAGGTAGGTACAGTAGAGCAGCTTTGAGGGAGCTTTAAATCTACCTGTAGATATTTCTTAGAAGGAAAATTTCTGTTCCTGAAACATGTTTTCTGTTCCCTCCCTTCGTGGTTTCCAGCAGGCGCTGCGCCCCGTAAGTGCCCCGGTAAAGCAGCTGGGGCGTTTCCTTGCCAGGTCGGGGCGCTGCTGACGGAGGTGCCGGATGCAGGTGCGTTAGGGGCAGGGTTGGCATCAGCTGCAGAAGTACGGAAGTGCTGCGGTTCCCTCGTTCCACTCCTGCTGCGTTGCGCTGTCCCTTCGAAGTTGCGTTGAGGCTCCCAAGTGCCGGGACGTGGGACGGCGCTCCCGGCCTCCCCGCCCGCTCCCGGGCCCCATCC